AATTAAGTATGGGCCATGCCTTAGAAGCACAACAGTATTCATACTGCATGTCTTTAAAATAGCTTTGAAAAAAATCTAAAACAGAGATGATGCAGTTTTCCATTATTGTAACATTACTAAGCTGCTTGTAAAGGTTGTTGTTTTTTTTTTGTTATCAGTTCCCTGTTTATGAGTCTGTGGCAGAGCTGCTTACTTTTATCACTCAATATTCAGCCCAAGGTCATTCCTCTGAGGCTTTTCATAAATAAATGCTGACCAAGCAATAAAGCAGTCCAATTAGTGTAAATCCCTGGACTCAACTCATCAATCTGAGACCAGAACACAGTGGTTTTGAAGGAGCTTGATCAGCTGCTTTACATGTAATTTAACAGCCAAAGTTCATAGACTACAAATAGTCTTTGTAACATCAATAGCCATGTCATCAACCAGGCAAAACTTTTTTAAAAGTAAAAAATATACACTCTGATTCTAAATTAATTTTGGGAGCCTGTTTTGGTCTGATTTATTGGGTTGTATTCAGTAAATTCTGAACAAGGTAATTAAAGATGGTAGTTTCATGCCCCCCCCCCCCCCCCACACACAAATCCTCCTTCCTGTGCATATTTTGCTAGCTTCAAGCACTATATGGTTGAAAGAAGAACCACCAGAGATAGACTGTGTAAATGACAACAATATTGGCTTTGAGCTTTGATTCAGACTGAAAAATGAAAGGAGCTCATCAGCTGCTCTGACACTCTGTGACCTTCTAATCTTTATAGGTAAGCTTTAAACACATTAGGCTGATTGATTTTGTCATAAGCTGCTACTGCTGTGGCTTATTTTGGTTGACTTCTAAACCTGAGGCTACGCTTCACAAACTAAGGACAGAATAAAAAAAGTGATGCATTTTATTTTTGATGGTTGTTCATTGTTTTAAACCTTTTGACTCAAATCTGCTTTTATGGATGGATGGATGGATTGATGGATGGATGGATGGATGGATGGATGGATGGATGGATGGATGGATGGATGGATGGATAGATGGACTCACATTATCAGTTTATTACTAATCATTAATGTTAATATCTAATGTTGGTAGTCAGATGGATATGAATAGCCTTTAATAAGCAGATGATTACTGTGTGCAATCTGATCCACTCTCTGCATGCATAAACACACACAACTGCTTTTAATCAGCTGGTCAGAATTGTCAGGCAGCATCTTGTCCAAATAATAGTCCAGTTTATTCTCCCGAGCAATTAATTCCAAGAGGCTGCAAAGCCTTTATGTGAGCCATACCTCTTTGTGTTCAGCCCCACATGCCTCTGCGGTTTGAAGCTCATTAAACGTCGGCACAAAAGCAACCCTGCGACGACAAACAGCGGCTGAGAGGTCGACACGCACACATTTAAATTTATATAACCTCAGTAGATGTTAACAATAATGTTTTTTGCAAAACAACATAAAGGCAGATCATCTGCACATTACTCAGTTAATATCCTACTTGTGTCAATAAAATTGAGGTCATGACTACACCCAGAGCAATGCACACAAATTGCTTCAGCATCGTAATGCGGTGCAATATACGTGGTGAGATTCATGAGCGGCATCGCAAGAAGTACTTAGAAATAGCATTTGATGGCATGTTTTGCACAACACAAACACCAATAATATTACAGGCTGTCGCTTTATTCAGAAGCAGCCAGACAACAAATAAACAYGTAGAAATAAAATGATCCAGTGTCAACACAGTCAGTAAGCATTGCACTATCTAATAGTCTGTTCACAGAAAATAAATCATCATGTTTAAATTCAGATTTTAAAATGCACAATCCTGTCACTGAAAAAAAAAGGATTTTTGGGTGTAGTAACATTTATTTAATTATTCTTTTAAATTTAAAAAAATCAAAAAATCTAAACTACTAGAATTTATTACATAAACAATACACATTATATTATATATCAATATTACTGTACAAAAAAAGTAAATGCTAATATTATTTTACCAGAAATATTTAAATGCTTTTTCTGGACAGCACATAAACATGAATATATTAAGTAACTTTTACTCTTCTGGGCTAAACCTGAGGGTGCATGCACACAAAGGCTGCTGCTCCTCATTCACTTGCTTCACTTTTCAAGGAGAGGAGAAGACATGGTCAAAATAAAACATAAGTTGTCTGGTTTCTTTTGCTAGAATACATTTGTTGGTGTGCAATAGTTTGATGGCATAATCTAGTTGATATTTGTTGTCATGGAACAGGGAATGAATATTGTAGCATTCTGTTGTGTTTGGCTGTTTGTCATGTGACTGCAGTGGAGGATTGTGGGTAG